GGTTCAGCTTTTTGGGTGGCCTCCACCCGAAAAGTTTGGAAGAAATCAGGATGGTGCCCACCCAGATTTCTCATCCAACAGAAATCCGGCTTCTCATACAGCCAGATTCTTCAGTTGTTGGGGTCGACAAATTCTGGGTTCAGCTTTTTGGGTGGCCTCCACCCGAAAAGTTTGGAAGAAATCAGGATGGTGCCCACCCAGATTTCTCATCCAACAGAAATCCGGCTTCTCATACAGCCAGATTCTTCAGTTGTTGGGGTCGACAAATTCTGGGTTCAGCTTTTTGGGTGGCCTCCACCCGAAAAGTTTGGAAGAAATCAGGATGGTGCCCACCCAGATTTCTCATCCAACAGAAATCCGGCTTCTCATACAGCCAGATTCTTCAGTTGTTGGGGTCGACAAATTCTGGGTTCAGCTTTTTGGGTGGCCTCCACCCGAAAAGTTTGGAAGAAATCAGGATGGTGCCCACCCAGATTTCTTATCCCAAAAAGTTCACCGCTGGGTGAACCCCGACGACATAGTCGGCGAGTGCGACCTGAGTTCTTGACGTATCGCTCCCATCAAGGGCTCCCAGCAACCCTACGCTAAAGGGCTTGCTATTCTGCACGCTGGCTGTTGATGGTCGCTCGGCACGCGTGCGTAAAAAAAACATATCGCATCGCACCAAGCATGGGAGACGCCGAAACAGGCCAAACCGCCACGAGACAGCAAAAAGAGCCGCTTTTTCGTCAGAGAGGGGAGGACATCGCAACTGATTTCTCGCTCCCTAGGCCACCGATCGAAGCCAGACCGGTCAGGGCGCGCTTTCTGTTCCTTGCTCCCTGCCGGAGTAGAGTTGCTCAGCAGCTCGTTGATCCAATCATTCGAAATCGTCGTCTGCGTGTACACAAGCTGTCTGTTGAAAATTGTTTCAAGGCCCTCAACACATTACTCTATTCTGAAGTGAAGCAAACCAGAACAAAATCACAATTCGAAAAAGCAACGGGCACCACGCGCATGCTTCTCTCCGTCGATCGAGAACACCTGCTGCCGAGCAAATCTACTCCGGCAGAGAGCAAGGAACAGAGAGCATGCCCTGACCGGTATGGCTTCGATCAGTGGCCTAGGAAGCGAGAAATCAGTTGCGGTGTCCTCCCCTCTCTGACGAAAAAGCGGCTCTTTTTGCTGTCTCGTGGCGGTTTGGCCTGTTTCGGCGTCTCCCATGCTTGGTGCGATGCGATATGTTTTTTTTACGCACGCGTGCCGAGCGACCATCAACAGCCAGCGTGCAGAATAGCAAGCCCTTTAGCGTAGGGTTGCTGGGAGCCCTTGATGGGAGCGATACGTCAAGAACTCAGGTCGCACTCGCCGACTATGTCGTCGGGGTTCACCCAGCGGTGAACTTTTTGGGATAAGAAATCTGGGTGGGNTGCGCACGCGTGCCGAGCAACCATCAACAGCCAGCGTGCAGAATAGCAAGCCCTTCGGCGTAGGGTTGCTGGGAGCCCTTGATGGGAGCGATACGTCAAGAACTCAGGTCGCACTCGCCGGCTATGTCGTGTGGGTTGATCTACACCCAGCCCCCAAGAATCTGCCTCAGGAATCCGGCTCACCGTAAGAACGGCCGGACTTTTTTCCAGCCGGATTTCTGTCTATACTGAAAAGTGAGTTTTTTTTGGAAAATAATCTAGGTGTATAAGAAACCGCCAAAGGAACAATAAATCCATTAAAAAAAATTGGCCGACTTCGGCTGGTCCTTCTGCCCAGAATAAGACATTGAGGCTCGACACGATTTTGACGTTTCTTATCTCGGGGCCTTAGACCACTGTTTATGGCAAAAAAATCTTGATCTTCCTTTCTTTCGACAAATGTTGACTTTTTCGACCTTTTGGGCAGTCTGCCTCCCGAACGAGTTCGAATCAGCTGTTCGACCTTTGAGAACAGTCACGGCTTTGGCTGAGATGTCTACAGATCGCCTACATGTTTCGCCAGGGTCCACGTTTGATTTTTTCAAGGTGCGCAATTTTCACGCAAGATTTCTCCAACACCAGCTTTTGGGCAGATCTTGGCCCAAGATTTGCTCCGAGGTGGCCTTTCGGCCGAAACTTCAACATGTTGCTCTGCAGGAAAAAAATCAAACGTGAACCCTGGCGAAACATGTAGGCGATCTGTAGACATCTCAGCCAAAGCTGTGACTGTTCTCAAAGGTCGAACAGCTGATTCGAACTCGTTCGGGAGGCAGACTGCCCAAAAGGTCGAAAAAGTCAACATTTGTCGAAAGAAAGGAAGATCAAGATTTTTTTGCCATAAACAGTGGTCTTATCTGTACAGACGTTTTTATGATTGCATGTGAATTCCTAAAATTGAAAACAACACGTGGTAATCTGTTCAGTCTGCGACACGGCGTATGACTCACCTCGTTCCGGGGCGGAGCTCCTGGACTGCTGTCCGAAGGTGTCGCAGCTACCTCGCCGTTCCACGCCGAAGATGTTTCCGGTGAACACGGCAACAGGAGCCAGCTTGCGGGGTCCGCCGGTCGACAACTGCCACAGCCGCCGTCATCCGTCGCCCGCAGCAGGCCAGACGCCGTGGTGCCACCGCCGGCGGCCGAAAGAGCCAGCCCGGCGACCTGCAAAATTCTCAGCATGAGCCCCAGCGCCTCTACTTCCAACCCCGCTTTGTCGCCCGTGATTGAATCCCCCCCCCGGCTGTCACCACGCCTGGCGACAAGAGATCTTGAGGCCGAAGAGGCAAGCACCGCCGCGCGGTCTGCGAAAAACGCCAGCCCGGACGGAGACATGGCGGCGAGCGGGTCGGCAGCGAGGGCACCGACGAGGTTTCTCAGGCAGATGACGGCGGCATCCAGGGTTGTCGATACGGGGGCAGCAGCACCATCGAGCTTGCTAGTGGACCCCATGGCGTTTACGAGAAGGTCGAGGGGTGCCCTCGGGCTCAAGGCGAGAGCTCTGAGCGGCTTGTTATCGGTTGCGGTGCCATCGATTCCCCTGCTCTGTTTCTCGGCGGTGGCGCGCGCCTGCCGGTAAAGCTGGGCGGTGCACGGCACCAACGCGCAAGCAGCAGCGACGCCGGCATCTTTTCCCGTAGCAACCTCACCTCCCTTCTGCGGCTGCTGCTGCTGCTGCTGCTGCTTGGATCTGATCGATGAAACCTCCGCAGCCAGCGTTTTCATGGCAGCAGCTTCATTTTGCATCAGTTCGGCCTTCAGCTTGCCTGCGGGCAAGGCGCTCAAGGCGGCTCGGAATAAACCTTCGACTTGGACATCTACGTCGACCTCTTCATCATCGCATGTAGAGGTCAGCTGCACGGCCAGGCCTACGATAAACTTGTGCGCGCGAGATACAGCGGGTTTGCTGGATGCACCATCGACGGCCGCGGCTGCGTGGTTGCTATCGCCTTGAATAAGCCTTTTCTTCGCCTTTGATCTAGGGGAAGGAGGGTGGTCGCCTGGGGATTTTCGCTTGGTCGTCGCTACTGCAACCTTTCGAGCGGGCATGGTGCGGTGCCCGATGTTAAGGGCTGTTTACTCTGTTGGTGTCCGCGGGTGGCCTTGATGGGTGCTGGATGCGGCGGAATTGAACACAAATCCGGAGTTGCATGCCCAAATGCAGGCGTTTGCTGTCTGTAACCGCCAAGACAACTTATGTACGACGAAACCACAAAACGACGAGACAGGAACGAGAACTGAACACGTTTGGCATGCTAATAGAGACATGTGGTGAATGCGGACGTCCAGAGAATACAGTGCGCTTCTATGGTATCGTGCGAGCTCCGTTTCTTTCTCTTTGTTCCCGCGAAAGTTTATGTTTTCATGAACACTATGCGCTGCTGCACAAAAGACTCTCATCGGAGAGTACAGAAGAGTCGGCATTTCATGCAGCCCCTAAGAAACATTTGCTAACTTCCGACGTGGTATTACAAGAACAAGAACCCGCCTTTGTGATGTAGCATTGTGCATACAGATACGCACCGCGCCCCACACGCGGCCGCTCCAAGAAAATAAACTCACGAAGGGTTGCGGGGCTACAGCAGTACTCGCTGGGGGGTGACCGATGACCCCTCCGGCAGTTTCAGATCCGCGGCTGTACCTCCTGAAAAACACCGCTGGAGAAAGGGGGGGTACTACACAGTTCTACCCCTTGTCGCGTGACGTTGCTTGTGCGTGCCACACTGCTGTGTGCTTGGTATGTGCATGCACGGATACCACGGCTTTACCCCACCCATCGAGACCAAGCAGGAGACAAGCCAACCGTCAAGGGTGAAACGAAGATGTGTCATTCTTGATCGGCACTAGGTCATCAAGGGACATGTCATTGATGGTAGATGCCTCACGAAGGCACACTGGGGGGTCATCGGGCCAACGTTGGGGCTAGACAATATTTAGGGAAAACGACACAACAGAGTATACCCTGGTCGAAAAGCGACACACCTGGGTACACAGTCATTAACAGCAGTCAATGTACTCGTATGATTGGTCAGCGCACTATTGCACCCCGGTGCGTCCGAAAAGGCGCAGGGTATATCCTGCCGTGACCATTTTTCTCGAAAACTGTACCCTGTTCTCGGAAATGTACCCTGACCTGACGGAAAATGAGACCCTTTCATCAATCATTTCCCCCGCAGGAGTCTTCCCAACTCATTTTCCCCTCCAACTATGGGATACCAAACGGCGAATCTTCCCGCCCAATACAACCATGGCAACGGGGCAGGAATCAGTTTCCGCCCCTGCGAAACAACACCACTTATCAACTCTACTGCTCTAAATCAACGATGGCCGAGCAATACCCCAGCACATCTGTACACGCGAACAATGCCCCGTGGACAACTGCTTGCAGCAGTCTATATGCGAGATGCACAGGTCACGCTATGAAAGCGAGACCGATCCAGCATGGTTGACATGCATACACATGCATGTGCCAATGCGTGGCGCTGCGCTGGCGGTGACCTCACGCCCGCAGAGCGAGGCAGGACCAGCACACACAGGCACGCCCTTGACATCAATCATGGAAGGACGAGCGAGCGGCAGCGCAGGAGCGGCGGCGGCGGGTTTGTCCAACACGGTAGTGCCCGTTACCGCATGGCAGATATTCTCCAGCCGCCATGCCGCGAAGGTCGCTGTAGCCGCTGAGCTTGCTGCCACTGGCCGTTCCATGAAGAATGGAAAGGGTGCCCGCAGTCGGCAAATCCACCTGGTGTGCAAGACCTGCACAAGTTGGGTTGTTAGGGGCTGCCAACAGAAAGGTGATGATTTCAAGATCACCAAGCAAGGTAGAGGGCTCGCACGTCGACTGTGCTGGGGGCGGGCGGACGAGCTCCGCAGTAGTACAAAACCCCTCGTGGACCAGTTGGTTAGGGCCAACCCCAAGATCGTCGGTCCCGCGATTAAAAGGACCCTGAAGACCGTGGGATTTACCGTCTCCGACCGGCAATCTCAACGCGCGAAGAAGCGCATCGCGACCGCGTCTAAGGAGGATGAAGCGGCTGCCATTTCGCGTCTTCCATCCCTTTTCGAAGGGACCGAGCGCGATTGCCCAGGTTCGGTTGCCACCGTCGAGGTAAGAGTTTGATCGGGGCCCTGTTTTTGGTCAATGTGCACGTGATGCAGCAGTGCAAGGTTGGGCGAGGACTAGACAAGAGCAGACCACATGTACCGTAGCATGCTGTAGATGTGCCGTGGTCACGTTTCGTTGGCTCTGTACACAACTAGAGGTTACCCTCGCTTCTTACTCGTCTCAATTTAAATGAGCCATCCCCGTACACGATATGTGAGCAACGTGCAGCCTAGTGTGTCGTTCGGGTGCTGACCTTCCTGTCGCTTTTATCCCGTGTGCACGCGCTTTTCCTTTGTAGGTGAGTCCCGACAACCGGTTCGTCAGGAGCTTCCTGATGTTTCGCAGGGGCGGGAACTGATTCCTGCCCCGTTGCCATGGTTGTATTGGGCGGGAAGATTCGCCGTTTGGTATCCCATAGTTGGAGGGGAAAATGAGTTGGGAAGACTCCTGCGGGGGAAATGATTGATGAAAGGGTCTCATTTTCCGTCAGGTCAGGGTACATTTCCGAGAACAGGGTACAGTTTTCGAGAAAAGTAGTCACGGCAGGGTATACCCTGCACCTTTTCGGACGCACCGGGGTGAAATAGTGCGCTGACCAATCATACGAGTGCATTGACTGCTGTTAATGACTGTGTACCCAGGTGTGTCGCTTTTCGACCAGGGTATACCCTGTTGTGTCGTTTTCCCTAATATAAACAGTGGCTCGATTTCGGAGTCCACAAAAACGAAGGATTCGGTATAACCGTAAATCCGTGGTTTCTGGAAGCGTTCCGGAAATTTCGTGAAAGAGCAGCGAGAGGCAAAAAAGGGTACACGGGGGTACAGCTATATACAGGGCACAAAGAAGAGAGAGAGGTTTGCAGAAGCTTTTGGGATCCTTGGGAAGCCGAGGACCTCGAAAGGAAAAGCGTTTCATCGCCCGCAAAGGCAGTGAAGCAAAGCAGCAGCGAGACAAAAGAGTTTTCGTTTGTGGCTTGATCGAATTTGATCGAATTTTGTCCAAGACACGTCGGAGTGATCAACAACGGCAACAACCAGCAGCAGGGTCAGCAGGGTCCCCCGCAGCAGCCGTATCCAGCGCAGCCAGCGCCACCACCACTGCCACCATCGCCGCTTCCCGACCAACCACCGTACGCAGCTAACCAACAAAAGAGCAGCGGCGGTGGAGGAGGAGCAGCAGCGGCGGACGAGGAGCAGGAACGGCAGCTCCCATGGCGTCGGACAGGCAGCAGGGGCGGCGGGAACCCACAGGCGGTGGGACACAACAACGCCCCCCCCGCAGAACCAGGAGACCAGCACGCGGGCGGAGCCGCCCCTGCCGGGTTGGGAAGCCCACCTTCCCCCCTCAACCCAGTCCAGATATTGCTGCACGATGTCTGTACTACTAACAGAGCAAAGTGAACGACTCGGCAACCTGGAGCTAAGAGCAGCAGCGGCAGCTCCCCATGGCGGCGGACAGGCAGCAGGGGCGGCGGGAACCAACAGGCGGTGGGACACAACAACGCGCCCCCCGCAGAACCAGGAGACCAGCACGCGGGCTGATAAGAAAGCGGCCTACCCACTAGACTACTTTGTCGCGCGACTAAGTAGTCTAGTGGGTAGACCGCTTTCTTAACAAAATATATGCTGTGTGGGTTCACCGGCAGGGATCTCCGAGGTCTTACACCCCTCGCCGCGCACTCCTGAAGTCCTAGGCCTGACCAAGACTTTCTCTCAAAATAAATCCTCCTGCCGGGACTCGAACCCACGACATAGCCTTTGATAAGAAAGCGGTCTACCCACTAAGACTATTCAAGTAGTCTAGTGGGTAGACGGCTTTCTTATCGAATGCTATGTCGTGGGTTCGAGTCCCGGCAGGAGCGCTTCTTTTGAGAGAAAGTCTTGGTCAGGCCTAGGACTTCAGGAGTGCGCGGCGAGGGGTGTAAGACCTCGGAGATCCCTGCCGGTGAACCCACACAGCATATATTTTGTTAAGAAAGCGGTNGCTTTCTTATCGAATGCTATGTCGTGGGTTCGAGTCCCGGCAGGAGCGCTTCTTTTGAGAGAAAGTCTTGGTCAGGCCTAGGACTTCAGGAGTGCGCGGCGAGGGGTGTAAGACCTCGGAGATCCCTGCCGGTGAACCCACACAGCATATCTTTTGTTAAGAAAGTGGTCTACCCACTGGACTACTTAGCCGCGCGACTAAGTAGTCTAGTGGGTAGACCGCTTTCTTAACACGGGCGGAGCCGCGCCAGCCGGGTTGGGAAGCCCACCTTCCCCCCTCAACCCAGTCCAGATATTGCTGCACAATGTCTGTACTACCAACAGAGCAAAGTGAACGACTCGGCAACCTGGAGCTCAGGATGCAGCAGCAGCAGCAGCACAGCACCCGCAATACCAGCACTAGCAACAGCATCTGCAGCAGCAACAGCAGCTAGGCCACCTCCCTCCTGGCGGCCTCCAGCAGCAAGGCCAGCCCTAGCCCATCGATCTCCCGTCAGTTGGCCAGCTCGCGCTACAGCCCCAGCAAGCGCAAGCTCTGGCCAAAATATCAACGTTTCGAACCACGCCCTTAACACCGGGGTCCAGAAAGAGAAGCTTCGCCGAGATACCGGCCCCATCAAGAGGTGGGGCCAACGCGGCAGAGGAGGGCGGATGACACCAAGGTGGCAGTTTTTGTAGACAGGAGCTGGACCGTGGCGCCAACTGAAGCGCCTCTTCCCGGGTTGGTGGCACCGAACGTGTTTTACGGTGAGAGAAGAAGTACCCGCCCGAGTAAATCAAGTGCCCATAGTGATGTACATAACTGCAGAACCAGTGCTGATAGACTCCTCTAACCAAGGAGAACAACCGTGTGCTCGTGCAAGTATCAGCCAGAGTAAATCACGCACCAGTAGTGATGAACATGAAATTACTGCAGAACAAGCGCAAATGGACCCCTCTAACCAAGGATAAGAACAACCTTGTGCTAGACTTGAAGAAGTGAGAGAAAAAGACAAAAAGACCTCCGTCACAAGGGAGAAGGTAATAGACCCAGTGTGAACTCTGGAGAAGACCTCCGCGATAAGAGAGAAGCAGACCCCTCGCACGAGGGAGAAGATCGCAAGAGTGCTAGACCCAATACGCGTATTGGAGACAAAGACCCCTACAGCAAGAGGGTCGGCAGCCTTGACACCTCCTTATGGGAAGCTACTGGCTGAAATGTGGAGAGAACAAAAGGAATGCCTAGCACGTGGTACACGACCTGACGAAAAACAGGAAATCATTCACGAACTTGCGAAGACTTGTAACATGCTTCTGAAAACGAACGACGGACAGTTGGGAGACCACGTCGCGAGAGCAATCGGCGGCACCTTGGTGTCACCGCCGCGAAACCTGAGCGACCTCGAACAACACTTCGGAACCAAAGAACACTTCCCAGTCTTCGCGAATCTCATTGACATCGTAGACAACGGTGTGCCAGCGAAAACGCACGACAGTCCGCTTAACCTCGAGAGCGCTCTCCGATACCGAAATCATAGTACGATAGACGGCCACACAGAACTGGTGTGGAAGAAGCTGATAGACGACGTCGAACAGAACAGATGCCTCGTATTCAACGTAGTGGACGAAGCTCGCGTGAAGGGCGTTCGTGTATCGCCGCTAGGAGCTGCGGTAGAAAATAAAACATCAGAATCATGAACGGTCTTTCTTTTGACCCTAAACTGCTGCGCGGACAGAAGGTAGGAGTCAACGTGAAGACGGTAACAGAAGAAGTACCCGACTGTTTGTGCGGCGAGACTCTACCTGCGTTCCCTTCTGATATAACGCGCGTGAGAGTCAAATGGCCTGACGAGAGGAGACTAGTGTCCACGGCTGACGTGAACAACGCTTACCGAAACGTGAGAGTCGCGCCAGACGATGCACAAAATTCTGCTGTGTGATAAGAGACGTACTAGTCGCCGACTTCAGGCTGACGCTTGGCTGGGCAGGTTCGCCCGGTTTTGGGGGAGTCATGGGCGTCCGTTTCTGAACATTCACACCGCAACACCAGCGTGCACAACGTACAACTAGTAGACGAAGGGATCGAAATGACGTCACATGTGAAAATAGTCTAGCCGTGGGACGGACCACCCGCCCGAGTGCCCCGAGATGCCAACGTGAAACCGCATGACGGAGGCGGACCGCACCATGATTCTCGTGCGGGGTGTACAAAGACGATTTCGCGTAAATGAAAGTACAACATGCGCCAGACGACGCTTCAGCGCTGGTAGCCTCCGCTTCACTAGCGTCTAACTGTGTGAAACTCTTCGGGCCAGCAGAGGCGGGCCAAACGCCCATTCTCGCCCCGAGGAAAAGCACAGACTGAAATACGAAAGTGGACTTTCTCGGACACACAATAGACACCCATAAAATGACGATCGCGACAACATGCGAGAGGATCGACGCGATAAGAACCGCGTTAGAGAATGATTGGCCACAGACCAGAGAATTCGCCAGTGGGCAAGAAGTCCTGAATATGGCGGGAAATCTCTGGAACCTGACTTTCGTCATGAGGGCGGGGAAATATTTCGTATGGCACCACTTACGCCCCACTGACCTACACGACAAGACTAGCAGACAGTCGAGAGAGAAGCGGCAAGTGCGTTTCGGGTGGGGGTTCCACGGAGGCCTAGACTTCTGGAGATGGGCGCTGGAAGTTGAACTCGCGGAGAAACGAGAGTCCCTTAGCGAGCAATTCTTTAACCACATCCAACGCACGCCTTTCCGTCACTACCTATCGGATGCTAGCTTCGACGCAGTAGGCGGACACTGTCCCGAACTAAAAGTGTTCTGGCTTTCAACCGGCGTTTACCGCGGAGCTGAAAAGGAAAGCAGAAGCCCAAGAAACCAGCGCAATCACGACCGAAAAGCTAGAATTGCTCGGAATGATAAATACATGCTGGGTGGTCTAAACGGTCGCGGGAGAAACGCCGACGCAACACGGAAAAGTTATCATGATGAGGGGAGACAATGTGTCAGCGGTATCATGGGCGAATACACCGGTCGCCCCGGTTGTCTAGTGGGTAACCTCGCAGCCTGCTAAGGGCCAGGTCATGGGCTCAAGTTCCGGCAGAGTGAGTATTTTCTCACTAAATAAATCCTGGTCTAGGATGAAAGCAACGCGCTGCAAAGCTCGCTGTTGTTAGTAAGCCATAATCGACTTCGTAAGTCGCGAGGGAAGGGATTACTGTACCCTTCTCGCGATAAAATATCTCAGGCAGGAACCGCAGGAGGGGGTCCATCCCCCCCCCCCCTCCTCTGTGGCTCCGGTTGGGTCGTCTAGCTAGTAGAAGTGGAGGATAGGGGCCAGAGGGGCAGACGACAGAGTCCAATGATGGGAGAAAAACAAAAATGATGCGGGGGCTCGAGAGACAGGCTAGCGGGACTGCTCATGAGAGTGCTTGGTCGTATGGAGATTGAAAACGGATGGTGTCCCGTGGCGAAACACATCCCGGGACACGAGAATACCCTCGCGGACAGGATATCTAGATGGAAGTCAGAGGACGTAGAAGTCAACCGTGGAAAGACTAACGCATGATGATAACTGGCGAATGCAAGACATCGGAGACACCGGAAGAGAACTACTTGAAATGATACTGCAAGAGAAACTCCCGAAGCAAAGAATGGATGACCTCGCATGGAGCCGCATGGCAAGTGCGTAAAGAGAAGAAGTGATAAGCGAAACAAGAGAATGATGAGTGCAAGAACTAAAAGACGGTGTCGTGACTCTAACGTGTTCAAGAACAGGAAGCGAACACGGGACGAAGGGAACGAGCTATGAAAGTTAAAGGCTCCTCAGGATCACGGAGAACGGCTCCCCGAACGCGAGCACGCTGAAGGGATGCCACAGCATGTGGGACACGTGGACAGCTGAAAGAGCTAAAGCGAATCTGAGTCCATGGTTGTACGGGGAGGACGGTGTGGATAGCGCAGCAAGAGAGCTGACTCTGTTTATGGCGTCGAGGTGTTTAGTGCACAAAAACCAGAGCCAAATGGTGAAGGGGTACCTCGCGGCTATCAAGTACTTCCATAAACTGTACGCAAGCTGGGAGCTGCTCACGTCGCACTTCAGGGTGGTAGCTGTTGGGAACGCAATAGACAGACTGCATGCGAGGGCAGAGACGAAAGAAACCGTTGGTAAGCCAACCGCTCACCGTGCCGATGATATAGCGGGGAGAGAAAGCGCGCAGACGGATGCTTTCAGACTGGTGACGTGAATGGGGATCGCTCTCGCGTATTTCTTGCTGTGCCGAGCGTCTGAGATGTGGGCCTACCACAACGGCTTGGTACACGCAGGAGTGTCGAGGTCGGAAGCAACAACAGCACTGAGAGACATGGCGGGAAGAGCAGGAGAAAACCCAACGCACTTCGCGCTGCATTCAGGAAGGATAGGTAGTGCGACGCAACTAGCATAGCAGGGCGCATCGGTACGTACGTTAGGGAAGGAGGCGAAGGCGCTAATTCTGAAGCTTTAGCTTCAGCTTCTCAGACCAATATCCGTGGAAGCTTCATTCGACTCCCCCACCCCTTGCCCGGACCGGCCCAAAATGATGATCTCGAGCTACAGCGCAAATCTCGCGGAGTCTTGAGTATGGTGCGGTGGGGAATCGCAGGTCATGACCCCTCCCCGAGTTTGAGGAGCTTCTGCCTCTTATGGCCGACAAGAGTCGGCCTTGTCCGTGTCGCCACCCGAACGGGGCGGTTGAACAGACAAAGAGGATCCGTGCGGTGCATCACATATTAGTCTACTTCCTCTGTCGTCACGCTCGGTCTATCTCCTTTTTTTTATTTTGTCCTGTTTTGTAACAAACAGCTTGTTGGGGTCTTTCGCAATCCGAACGGGGCGGTTGAACAGAAAAAGAGGGTCCGGTGCATCATCATCACAATTTTTTATTTTTATCTCTTGCTAAGCGTGCCCTCTATATGTAATACTGCAAGTCAGCATAGTATTCGCCAGGCTGTGTTGTAGTTGGTGCTTCATGGCAGCACAGTCATCCACGTAGTATTAGATAGGGAAGGGGTAAGGAGCCGACGGTGACGATTCAATACCTTGCAGTAGTCTATCTGCGATACTGTGCAAGGTGCGAGACACTTCGTCCAGGCAGCAACGCAGCAACCCAGAACGCCCAATTTACTTGCGGAATTATTTAATTATATTCGAACGGATCTTCCAGGACCGACCTTGCATACGCGCTCCCGCTGGAAGTTCTTCACACACATCAACGGCGGAGGAACACGCTCGCCTCTGCTAGAACAACCACAGCAGTACCGCCAAACGATCGGCACCTAGGAAGTGCCCTCTTCTTGCATTTTTTTCGGGCTTGGCACAGCTTGGTACAGCAGTTACATGCAGGTTTTTGTTTGTTTCCTTGGAGATACGATAGAAGAAGAAACACGAAAGAAATCGCATGAAAATACTCGTCGAAGCAGTTCTCCCCGATGGCCTGACAGGGCCTGATGTATGTTGGTCGTGTGGGCCGCAGCGGCACCGGCGGTGAGGGGGGTGCACCCCGGCGGCGGCGGCGGCGGCGGGAGAGGCGGCCAGGGCGCAGGCACTCGCGGAGGGAGCGGCAGCATCGGTAGCAGCATTAGCGGCGAAGGGGTGACCTCAGGCAGTCATGTTTTCCCCGCGACGCCGGCCGGGGCGACGGCGGTGGTGCATACACTCGAGGCTAGCGCGGTACCATCGGTACAGCACCGTCGGCGAGGGGGGTGAGCCCCGGCAGCAGAGTTTTCCCCGCGGTGCCGGCCGGGGGGACGACCGGGATGCAAACACTAGCGGCTATACCGGTACCTTCGGTAGCAGCACCGGCGGCGAGAATTGTAATGGAGAAACTAGTGTATGAGCGTTGACAGAGTGGCGACCCCCGGCGGCAAGGTTTTCCTCGCGGCGGCGGAGGGGCAGACGGCCGGGGCGCTGGTACTCGCGGCAAGATAGAGCAGCACCGTCCGCAGCAGCACCGGCGGCAAAAGGGGGGACCTCCACCGGTCATGATTTTCCCGCGGCGGCGACCGGCCGGGCGTGAACTCGCGGACGGAGCGGCGGCACCGTTAATGGGAGCGGCGACGACAGGAGCGGTTGACGTGGTGGTGGCGACGGAGGGTGGACTGGGCTACCGCACACCATGAGCCAACCCGGCAGACGGTGATCCGTCAGCAGCGGTACGAGGTGACTGCGGTTCTGTCGAGAAGAGCGTTTCTAAGCAAAGGTGTGACTCAGCCTTCGCCCGAAAAAGAACAGTCCACGACTGGCACCGAGTGGACAAAAAAATACATCATTTCCCCCCCACGTGATATTGAAGTACACGCGCCAACACCCAACCACGATATCGGTTCGACGAGACCCCAACCGCGTGGCCGCAGGCGTCACCTTGTACCGCTGCTGACGGGTCGCCGTCTGGGCTGGCTCATGGCGTGCGATAGCCCAGTCCACCCTCCGTCGCGACCGTCACGGTAATCGCTCCTATCGTCGCCGCTCCCATTAACGGTGCCGCTGCTCCGTTCGCGAGTGAGTGCGTGCGTCCCGGCCGGCCGCCGGCGCCGCGGAGAGCACATGACTGCCGGTGGTCCCCCTCTCGCCGCCGGTACTGCCTCCGATGCTGCCGCTCCCGCCAAGAGGGCCGACGGCCCGGCCGTCTTCCCCGCCGCCAGGGGTCGACCCTCTCGCCGCCGGTGCTGCTATACCGATTGTACCGCACTAGCTGCGAGTGCTTGCACCCCGGCTGTCCCCACGGCCGGCTTCGTAGGGAACACTTGACTGCCGGTGGTTCCCCCTCTCGCCACCGGTGCTGCCGACGATGCTGCCACTCCCGCCACGAGTACCTGCGGTCCGGCCGTCTCCCCCCGCCGCCGCGGGGAATCCCCGGCCGCCGGGGGTCACCACTCTCTCTCCCCGCTGATGCTGCTACCGATGCGGCCGCTCCCTCCACGAGTGCGCCTGCGCCCCGGCCGTCTCCCCCGCCTCGGGCACGGGGCGAATTCTGCCGCCGGGGGTCGCCCCTCTCGCCGCCGGTGCCGCTGCAGTCCATCCGGTGTGGAAAAACCTATCGCCAAACGACCAATGCTTCAGGCCCTGTCAGCCCATCGGGGAGAGCTGCTTGACGCGTTTGTTCGTGCGATTCTTTAGCGTTTGCGTCTTTTTTTGTAGATATCCTGTCATTGTAGGTTTTCTTCGGATTTAGTTCTTTGGCCTTGTCATCCTCGGCACCATAGTTCCAACGTCTTCATCGCGGTCTGAACGTCTTCATTCTTCAGTCGCTTTGTTCTTGCTGTGTGTCGTGCTCGAGGGCGTTTCCGTAGTAAGCACTTGCTGCGGCTTCCCGCAAAAAAAAACAAGGGAAACTTCAGACAGGCAACGCCGACGTAACTCGTCGAGGAGTTGCACATCAAGAATGTATCGCGCGCACTAGCGTCTAGCTGAAGGGGAGAAACAGCGTGGACAAGAGCGCCCAATATCGGACCGCGCAATGGGATATGACCTGGACATAGACGTTGGGTTGGCCCGATAAGTGATACCTAGTGTCCGAGAGGAAGTCAATGGCTCGGCTCATATGTTGGATTTTGGTTTTGATATTTCTTGTGTTGGGCGTTTCTGATTCTTGTCGCTTTTTCTAATCCAAATTTCTTGAGCTAAACACAAATCCGAGCAGCTTGCAGAAGCGTCTTTTATTTGTCGGGCACAACGATGACCGCCAGAAACGATCATGCCATGTTCCACATCGTTCCAAGTTCGGAATGAGCACGTCTGTCTCTTTGACCATCATCGGTGTTCTGCCCAGGAGAAAGACAGAGGGAGCCGTGAGCAATAGAGCGTTCATGGCGATCCGTGGCGGGCGCTCGGTTCAATACTTAGGGTGACTGGCGACGCGGCACGCACGCTGCCAGGCGGACAACAGTAATAGCGCAGAGCCGCGCAACAACCATGGCCGACTTTCTCCTACTACGCCCGACCCGCAGACATCATCATGCCCTTCACGCCGGACGCCCTCCGGCGGGGCCGCCGTAGGGGTGATGCTTGTTCTGGTTTCGTTTGCAGAGGACCGCCTGGAACTGAACGCGTCGGACGCGACGAGAAAGTACGCGCTCGGCGAGTTCAACATGCCCATCGAAAACATCAACCCGGCAGAGAACAGCAGGCAGGTGAACCCAGCTGGTGTGCCAAGTCCCGGTAGAGAGTATGCACATGCAAAGCTGTGTCCTCGTGCATGCATGCATGCACGCGCGGTAGTCCGTCTAAACATGTGGTCGCGGGTTAGTTTGGAAGAAACTACTGTAATATAGCAGCAGTCCGCGGTCCCCCCTAGCGGCACGACACTGCTATTCCTCAGTGGGTAGCGGTATTGATGCCGCTTTTGAGGATGAGACCGGGAATGACGTCGTATTTATCGTTGGTGGCTGCTGCTGTACAGCAGTGCACATGCGGCACTCTTGTGGTGCGTTTACCTCACATGGAACCGGAGACAATGTGTGTTGTGGAACCACTCAATGCCACCCTGTGCTGTTGTCCACTCATTCACTATGGCGTGTACCCATGCTTGCCTTGGCCTTCTCGCACCTCCAACGTTTTCGTCCGACCCGATTCGTTGATCAAGCTCATCAGAGGGAAGGCACGCACGCCAGGTCAAGCATGGCAATCTACCGCTCGGTCTTCCAGAGGACACGACCCCTTTGGCTGTATCCCACATGATCAAGTCACCGCATGGTGCATTCGGGTATGTTCGACCTGCCACCAACGAGAGGGAGATGTACATTATGGGGGCAATGAAGGCGACTTCCCGCGCCAAACTGAGTGTGCTTCGTTGTCTCGTCGTTGCCGCGGTAGCTCTGCCGACGCTCACGTGCCGAAAACAGATCGATGCCATGGTAGTGTATTTCGTGAACACTTCGTGTGTCCGTCGGTTATTCCCAAACCACAGCAAATGCCGTCTCCTCCTTCCACCCTCCGTTGTCCCTGCCTGCTCTCTTGCAACGACCAAGTTGCTTTCGTAGGAGATTGTCGAAGAATAGGGGGCATCTTACGCCCTCTGTGCCAACAGCGGAACGGATTATTTACAGGGAACACCAGCACCGACGCTCCCCTTTGGGGCGTTGAGTAAGGCCAGCTGCCCTGCTATGTTTGTGCTTTTGTGGGCAGACAGCTTCGTTGCTGGCCTCCGCTCGGCTGTTTTCTGGGGCTGTTGCTTTGTTACGATCGACAATTTCGTTGTTTTGGTGTTCTATTGTTTTGTTGTTATGTTGCGGTCCATAGGAGGCAGGTTTGTTGTCTCCGGTTGGATCTGGTGCTGCTGCCGTTGCACATACTATCCACCGCAGTGCGTTGAAGGTTGATGGGCAGGTGTTTTTGTGTTCGGCGAATGGTCAATCGAGTGTTGGTTGTTGGTTTCAAGGCACTACTAGACACTACTACTGTTGTCAGGGGTTTCGTCTGCACGGATGTTGCCCTTCCCCCTCCGGTGCATACAAAATTTGTAGTGAGGGCCCTTTATTCTGCAACCGGCATTCTAAGTTGCGTTTCTGTCCTTGGTGTGTTTTGCTTGTTCATCCCGTTATCAAACTAATGTCCGCAGGGCTATAGTGTTCCCGACCTTCGTTATAATTTGATATCTTGCTTCGAATTGCAATTTTTTTGTGTTTGTCCGACCCTCTGAGGTACCGAACGCCACACGACTAGCCCTGTAGACAGCACTACCTCCAGTTTATTGCATTGTTGCTGTGGGAAAAATAAACCCAACACTGAGCACATCGTACCATTCAATCAACCAACGCGGGGGATCTGCAAGTGGTACTCGAGTGCAAACAATCCATGATGATGCCCATGCGCGCAAGAATGAAAAATGCGCGTAGAAAAACCAAGTCGCAGCCATTAAAAGAACAACCAACAATGCTTTAAGCCTACACCGTCACTCTCTTGATTAAAAATTCTTTATACCACCTGTACTGTGCGACGGGGGTCGTGGAGACGATCTTCAATTGCCCTAGCCACGTCTTGCTCTCAAATTAATGCACCTTCAATTGCCCTTGCCAACGTCTTGCTCTCAAAAAAATGCCAGCCTAAGAAAACAAAAAAGTACCATCGGTTGCACCCAAACGCTTGCTGTGGGCCACGAAATCAATCTGTCAACACCCGCCCGCTTTGGCACGTGATTCTGACTGTGTTTGACCCTTCGAGGCAGCTTTCAAGTAGCCATCGCCCAGTTCATCTCCATCATGAGTGCATGGGAGGTCAAGCGAACATGTTGTATTTTGCCCAACACGACCTATTGTCGGCGTCCCCGGTCTGCTTGAAAACAAAGTCTGGCTAGTCACGTGCCTTGGCCCACATATCTTCTCGCCCTATCTCAGAGCTTCGCGATGTACCTGACCAAGCGGGGGTGTGCGGGGAGGGTGGAAGGTAAGCACTGCTCACAGGCACGAAACCAACAGGGTTGTTTCCTTTTGTTTATTTGCTTCGAGGGCGTTCCACGTACTGCCGCGTCGATGACGCGGGGCAGCAGCAGCAATTTAGGGAAGCTGACCCCTAATTAGATGGAGGAAAGAACAGGGACGAAGCATGCCGATAGAATAAGGCCAGGCCCCATTTTTTACAACACCCTCAACTTTGTACGATCCCTCGACGTCTACGCAAATAAAACATCGACACATGCCATATAAATGCTCATCACACACAAATCTCAACGAAAAGCCACGGCACGCTCGCGTCCCTTCACTTGTTGCATTTTAAAGATGGGATAACCGATGTGCGAGCGAGAAGTGGCACACTTTCTGTAGAGGGGGTGATAGACTGATCCTGTCCTGTTAACAACGCAATGACTACATCCAACGCACGAAATACAGCGCATTAAAACACAGGATGCCCCGGAAACTACCGTGTGCACAAAACCTCCCAGTAAACAACCGCACCTGGTCATGACCCATCACCCACCCGCTGCACAGCTAGAATTCTTGCTTCCCACGAAGATCCACGTCAGACCCTTGCACGCCGTCTCTACAAGGGAGCACCCGTTGCGAGCGAACAGCAGCAGCGGCAGCAGCAGCGGACGAATGTCAACAAAACACCACCAGCAGGATCATCTCAGCCCTGTTTAACACATTGATTAGATACATAAGTTCTTCGTGCATGCCGGCCATCGATGTCCCGCTGCCTACCGTTCACCAAGGAGAACAACAAGGCACCACCGTCTACAACGGCCGTTTGTTCAAAAACAAACTTTGGCCCCTTCACAAGTTGCCCTACACATCACATTACTCACAGTCGTCGTAGATGTTCATGTCGTAGGCTGCACTTGATTACTTACCTCCAGGTGATATATCTATGCATAGGGAACGACGCTACTCTCATCCATAGCACCCATTTGGAAGTACAACATAGCAGGTGACGCCGCTTGGCCGGCGCCTTCGACCGTTGATGACGCCATTGGTCTCCTGCTGCTTCTTTTCTCCTGCTCGGTCTGCCTGCCGCCCATCTTGCAGAAGATAGACCCCTTCTTTTTCATGGGGTCAACGGTAGAGGAGCAAACAAGGACGAAAAAAAAGAGAGAGAGAGAAGCAAGACGGCCAGCGCACACACTCGACTACAGCAGTAGCAAGCCACCACAACATCGAACGGTGAAGCAAGCATCCAATCCACAGACTACTCCTGTACAACGGAATATACGTCAATTTCGTGCTGTGTTTCTATGTAAACTGTTGCTCTCTCCACTCACCAACACAAACACTATGAATCAAGGGTGTTCTCCGCGGTTGCTCCGAAAGCCCAGCTCTCTCACGGCTGCGGCATACACGGCGCCCGTTGCTCTCGCCGACCACGGGCCACGGTTCGGGCGCTCCGACCCAATAACACATTGTTCCTCCGGTTGTTGTCATGGTGCTGCGGCTGTCAACGAAAGAAAGAACCAGTCCAACAGGGGCCGGCGCAGCACGCAGATGCTGCTGCTGCTGCTGCTGCTGTCTGTACGCTGCACTCATTCGTGAGTATTTACGCGACCTCGAACAATGCAAACGAAGACACCAGCCGCTAGTAGTTGCAACAGGCGACGGTGACCACCTGGACGCGTGGGGTGCACCTCGTGCAGTGCGTGCGTGCGTGCGTTTTTTTTTTTTCTAGAAAAAGCGGATGCGGGGAACCTCTCTCGCCACGTTGCGTGAGCACACACACACTGCGGCCTCGTCACGACCCTCACGGGCGGGCAGGCTAAGAACACATAAGTGGCTCCATCCATCTCACAGCCTACATCTGGCAGACAGTGCCTTCGACCCTTCGACGGCGGTGGTATCTCCTTCTCTCACGGAATCACAAATCTTTGT